GGAGGGGAGATGATGTGGAAGCCGATGTGTGGCTGCCTGCACTGGGGACTTTGGGTTTCTTTCTCCTTCTAGAACCATCCCAGAACTCATCCTGCTTCTCTAACAGTCCAGAGTTGTACCCTAACCCTCTATGCTGCCTATCTGGAGTGAAGCAGGAGATCCCACCTTGGATACAGGCCAGTGATCCCCACCAGTGCTGCTGCTGTTCTGTTCTTTCACCTTGTTCAGTTTTGTAATAAAACCTTGTGAAATCCACCCCTGTCCCTTCCTCCCGGGATTCCATCCCAAATTTCGGAGCTTTGGAGCTCCCGGCACTGACCTGGGGCTGCTTCCCAGTGCTCCCAGTCTGCCCAGTCACCCTGGAGGGCTTTGGGGAGGGGAAACAGCACACAAGTGCTGCTGGGGGGGTCCCACCTCACTTCTGTTTGTTTTGTTCTTCCCGAGCTGGGCAAAACTGATTTTTGGACTTTTCTGCCAGAACTCTGTCCCCCTCCTCTGCTCGGACAAAAGGGATTTGGGGCCGTTTTTTTTTCCTTTTCGGAGGGAAACCGGGTGCGTTTGTGCGCCGTGGCCGGCAGGGGATGCACACGAGCCCGGGGACATTCCCGCGGACATTCCCTCGGTCCTGTCCCGGCCTCGGGCGGCCCCGCGGGACCCCAAAACCAACTGTGGGGGCAGCCCCAGAAACCAGGACTCGGCCCCTCGGGCGCTTGGAGCTGCACGAGGGGGGTAAAGGATCCCCCCGGTGCCCCCCAGGAGCGGCTCTGCCCCCCCAGAACGGGACCATGTCCTGACCGAGGGGGATGAGGGGGTGTCAGACAACTGGGGAAAAACCCCCCTAAATGACCGGGGGGTGTCAGCTCCTCCTGCCCTGCCTGGTTCTGACCCTCCCCTGGCTGCAGCATTTCTACCACCCCCCCCTGCCCATGAGATGCTTCTTGGGGAAGCAACACCAAATATCACCTATCACGTTTCAGCCTCACCCCCTAAAAACCTCGATCAGAGGCATTTTTGAGTTAATTTAATAAATTAATTTGATTAATTTAATAAATTTCCACCTGTTTCCCCGTCGTTCAGCCCAACCCTGTGCATGTTCCTGCACCTCCAGGTGAGCCCCCTCCTCCTCCTGGCTGGGGACACCCAAACCCTTTCCCCAGGCACAGGGGAGGCTGTAGGATACAGAGATGTGTTTAAAAAAAAAACCCAAAGAAACATAAAAGGCCCAGTTGGTGCCATTTCCTGGGACCAGACGTGTGTTGGTCATGAGGTGAGAAGGTGTCCGAGGCTGGTGTCGCTCTCGGGACACGCCAACGACCTCCAGAGCCACCATGGCTGGGGAAATGGGTCATGCCGATCTAAGACATCCTGGGAATGAGCCTTCTCCGGCTGAGAAATGTCCTGGTGAGTGTATTTTGGGGGAAAAAGGGCTTATTTCAGGCCCTGGGAAGAGTTACCTTTGGGGTCCCTTCGCTTCTCCATCCCCATGTTCAGGTTTCCAAGCTCACGGGGTGGCCTTTGAAATGGGATCTGGGATTGTCCGGAGTGGGACAGGGACAGGAGAGGCTGGAAAATCTCCAGAACTGGAGCAGTTTTGTTTCCCAGACCCTTCACTTGGTGGCCAAAAGGGGACACCAGGAAGCCCCAGGGGAGCCCCCACCCCTGGGAGGGCAGGGAAGGGGCCGAGCCCCGTCCGGACCCCGGAGGAGTCGAGGGCTGGAGGGACCCGCAGCCACCAACTCCCAGCTGGAAACTGAGCCCGTTTGGGAGTTCCCAGGTCCTGCCCTCTGGCACTGGGTCCTCGAGGCTGCTCCCGAGGCTGCTGCACCCCCTGAGCCCCCCAATCTCCCCCGGGGGTGCTGCCCTGGCTCGAGCGCTGTCAGGGGGGATTTATGGCTTTGGAGGAAGCAAAGCAACCAGAAACTTCTGCTCCAACTCACAACTCAGCAGAGGGGTTTGGGGTTTCTTTTTACTCTAAACCCCCAATCTTCTTCATTTTTTTTAAGCTTAAATGTGGCCTCTTCCAGCTCCTGCCCCGTGCCTGTGGTGGCACAGAGTCCTCCTCACAGCCGGGGCGCTGGGGCACCTCGTCCTGCTGGTGCTGGTGGTGCTCCGAAATGTGAGTGGTGAGTAACCAGCTCTTATCTCCTTCTCACACCCCAGCGAGCAGAGGCCTGGTACCGGAAATTTGGGTTTGTTGCAGCAGTTCAGGCCCTGGAGGGTTGGTGCAGACACGAGAACCAAGAGTAAAACCCCCTCTGGGCACACCTGGAGCATCCCCACGAACAAGGAAGGAGGGCAAGACCCGTGGGCTTTGGGCCAACTTCATTAACTGTGGGGCAAAACCTGACCTGTCTCTGTGGGGTTTGTGGTTTGGCTTCAACTCACTTTGCTCCCAGTTTTTCAGGGCTCTCCATGTCCTGAAAGTGACCCCAGAGTTGAGAGCCAGGCCAGGAACCAGATGGAGCGATGCATCTTCCCATCCCTGGTGCAGTACTCCTGCCAGCCCCAGGGGCAGAGCCCCCCAGGTGAGCCCCCTTCCCACCTGGTTCTGCTGGGAGAGGCTCAGGTGGGACCTCGGGGGGCTCCTCCTGCGAGGAGACCCTGCACTGAGGGTTCTTTGGCAAAAAGGAGCATTTTTAAGGAAGAATTCCCTTTTCTGTGTGATTTTTTGGTGGTCCCACCTCCCCAGAGGAGCACGGTCAGCCCAAGGGGGGATGTTTCTCACCACCCTTCCTGCACCCCAACCACCCACTGTGCCCTTATGGTCACCCAACTTCTTCCTCCTCCTCTTCTTCCCCCTCCTCTCCCTCTTCCTCCTCCTCCTCCGTGGTGGCAGAGCAGAAAAACCACAACGGTGGGAAATAACTCCAGGGTTTGGTGCTTTTCATTTGGGGGGTCGGGGAAGACCTCGCTCACCTCTGGGGTGTCTCATTCGTGGCCTTTCCTCCTCTCCAGCCCCTGCTGGCTGCAAGTTGTGCCCCCAGGACTGGCAGCTCCGTGGGGAGAGATGCTACCGGCTCTCCAAGGAATCGGGGAACTGGACTCAGGGCAGGAAAAGCTGCGAAGATCAGGGCTCTGAGCTGGTGGTGCT